CTGAGCAAGTAAAATCTCAGCCATCCTAGCAATTACCCTACTTACTTTGCACTTCCCATGATCAGCTGGCTCGTCTGTCCCCTCTAACAACCAGGGATTGTAGGGTTTCTTGCTGGCAGTTGCATTTTTCTCCCCTGCAGTTCAAGCAAATTCGTTCTTTTTTGTACATACCCCTGCTGCGTAGCCAGGCACATGTGCCAGGCAGTCTGCTGGGGGCTGCCCTGGAACTTTCCTCCCAGTCTTTTATTTTTTTCTGGGAGAGGTTTAATTAGCTTGATCTTTCACCTGACCCAGAGGAGCTTTGCTAAATTCATCCAGCCCCTGGTTAGGCAAAATACAGCAGTATAACAACTTCAGCAAGGAGTCATCTACTGAGTATTCTCATTTCGTGCATTAACAGACATAACATCTCTGCCACTTCTCCATTCTGTATACAAGATACCTGTGCTCACTCATAACAACAGAGAGCTCACTGTACTGATTAGACTACAGGTCCACCGAATGCAAATAAAACATGCAGTCAACTTGTGCAAGTTCAGGATGGTAAGTACAGGACATTAACACAATTCTGTAGGTATATTTTCACCGGGTATGAGACTCAAAACACAAGCGTTGTAAATTGAAGTCTCCTTCCTGTATCTCTAGCTGCCCAAGTGAATCTCAGCTGAGGTTATGAGAAAGGTGTATTAAAAAGGAAAAATAAGTCACTGGTTTCTTCTATATTGGCCAGAAATAGTGAATAATGTTTGAAAGATTAATTCATGACTACAGCTCTGCTCAGTGCTATTCAGTTGTGCACTACATTCAGTGCCTTCACCAGAGAATCAGAGGCTATAAAAATCAGTATATTTCAGTCATTTCCGAGGGCAAATATAGAAAAGGCTTTTTTCAGTTTGGAGGATTTAGTATTTTTTGGTATTTTAATATCATTGTATCAGCTTTTATACTAAAAAAGCCCACGTTGCATAAGAACATAAAGTTTCTCAAACAGATCTTTACTTTTTCTACAGCGCTTTTTCTTCCCCCACTACCATCAAGCAGGATTTAAACTTTATGGCTAATATAACAACTTTGATAGACATATTCAAATAGATTTCAAGGCAGATAAACTCAAAGACCAAAGGAATCATAATGGTAATTTCACCTAGCTTCACGTATGATACCAGCCATGGTATTATCTACATTTCCTGCACTGAACCCAAAACCTCACTTCCTATCTTGATTTCAAGTGATGAGAAATCCACAGCTATTTATGTGATAAACCTAGGTATCACCACTCATCAGTCTAAGGAGATAATTTCATTTATCCAGATATTTTAATCTTTATCAGTGGAGCTCTGGCTGTAATAATTCACAAAAGATAATGACTGCAACTCAACTTTCACTTTCCAGCAATTAGTATCTAGTCCTCTATATTACAAGTTCTCTTCTGTTCTGCTGATGTGAGAGTGGTTATTTTTAACTACAATTACTCATTATCAAACAATCAGAGTGATCTACTTGGTTTGGCAAGGGATACATCAGCTTTCTTTGCTGGCTACTTGCCACCATAATACGATTTCCAACACACAACTTTCACTTTCAGGAAGGCTGTAAGAGGAATACAACCTGCATCTTGCATATTACAGTTAGAAATCCTCAACCCAGATCTTATTTCTCTACTCCTGGTGGTAGGGATGGGATGTGGACAGGGCTGGTTAATGTAAAAACTGAAGACTGTGTATTTTTCACCAAGGTAATGAGGAGATCTCCACCTCTTAATATATATGACTTATGCTTTTCTGATTGCTAATTAACACAGCAAAGGCATAGGCATGCAGGCACTTGAATTTCAGGCATTTACACTCAGAACAACATTCACTGAACAGCTGTCTCAAGGTTGTTCCTTGAAATCTATACAGAACTTTAGCAGAAACAACTAGCAGCAGCTTAGTCATTAAAGGGAGTTCGAAGAGAAGAGCAAAAAGATAAGCCAGAATGCCACGCTAGTCTGAAATAACCCACAAGTGCCTTTGAGATATCTGACAGAACTCATCTATTGAGAAGTAATGTAGAGAAGTTATGGGCTTTAGACCTCCTGATGGGGTCTGGTGCGTGTGGGGAAGAAGGGAGGAGTTCTTGTCCATCACACCAAAGACACTCTTTGTACAGCTAAAAAGAGTTTGGAACAAAAGTGACATTTTGTACCTGTATAAATAAAGCTCTGTTTAGACAGTGACAGAAGTCCATAATTCAGTGTTCCCCATTATCATTTTCTTAGTGATGTTTCCTAACAACAGTTCTACTATCTTACTTCAGCAATTAATGCATTTTCTCTGACATTTGTTAGTGAAAGATTTTCCTTGTACCATTTAACATGATCTTACTCCTTTTTATTGCTGCAAGACAAAGAAAAACAAGAGTTACTTAGACATCTAAGACAGCTGTTTCATACCAACTCAGCAGTCACCTGAACTTCCTTAAGCTGTGACAGAAGGATTTCTCCTGCGTAACAGCAAGGGCCTGGTGCTGTAAGGAGACTGCCACTTCCCTGCAGGACCCAGCAGCAGCAGCTGAACCGGTTTGTCAAGATAAACACTATGGTGATTAGCAAGGACATCGCCATCTGAGTCTGAACAGGATTCCTGTGGCTGGACGTGGGTTGAAGTGTCAGAAGTGTCATTAATCATTGCTATGCTTTCTTGTATGAAGTTCCCAGGTTGCAGCTCCACCAGGAAACAGTTCTCCTCTCTGGGAAGTGAAGCCAAGGTGCCCTCTTGAAGGCCCAGCTGCAGTCACAGTTAAAGGCCAGAAACACAGGACAGCTTCAGCTGAGCTCAGCTGTTTTCACATGCAAGGAAGGGTGCAGTTACAGCACGTGGTACAATTGCGTATTTTCTGCTTGAACATTTTCTAGCTCTGGCCACACATGCAAGTTCTTCACTGAAAGCTAAAATATTTAATATGCAAGTGCAATTTTTGTTAAGCATGTTAAGGAAATAAACTCGTTTACTTCTATTACAGCAAGACCATTGTAACACGGAGGCAATAAGCTCAATATTGAAATATGAGCAGTATTTAACTGCCTTTGCTTGGAAGATGACCCTTTGCCGGTTTGACACACCTGTCACAATTAAAAAAATATATGAAATGAACTTTACAATATCCAGGTCTTTACACTGCCATTACCATACAGTCTGGGGTAACAGTAGGGCAGGGTTTTCATAAGCATGGCTGTCTTTCGCATCAAGACGGTTTCCAGACACAGAGAACTCTTGTGAATCATACAACAGATGAGTCTTACCACGGCAATTTATTTCTTAAAAATCTAGTTTATTGCACTTGTCTCAAAGCACAAACAAAACCAAGAACCTAAATACAGAAATAAAAGTTAAAAACCCATCCTAATTTTATTAAAACTACACTAAAAAGTAGTCTGAGAAGAGGTCTTGACACCAATTTAATATTAATGACCATAGCAAGGTACAGTATTATACAGTAAACAAACAACTAGCAAGCTCAAGCCATTACTAAGATGACTTTGAAAAATGTAATACAAAAGTGTCACTATTAAATAATGCCATTGTATTTGAGCATCTGGTGCTTGGCAGGGCACAGAGAAGTACTCCTGTCCCTTCTCCGAAGTGACTGACTCAGGAGCTGCCACAAGATACTTTCAAGCTGAATTTCAGCTTCTTTGGGGTCCTCAAGATACCAAGCTATGCTTGCATGAAACAGACGGGGTTACTTCGCAAGCTGATTCCATTACAATCCACCGCCAGACAGGCTAAAAAAACCCTCTGGGGTAATCTCCAAATATGGATGAGATAGCAATGAAGCAAACATCATCTGTAAAAGGCAAACAAATCTGTCCTTCCTGCAAGACTGAAAGATCAGACTGAGAACTGACAGCCAATATCACACGTGCTACTAAAAAAAAAAGTGACATAACTTGGTTCTCTCTCCACCAATCCACATTCTCACCTTGCACCATGTTTGCTCCAAGTTTAGTGCAGTACACACATGAATTATTCTGAAAAAGAACAGAGGTTAAAAGGAAAACACATCCTCTTCCATTTGTGTTAAGTTCCCAAAACAGAAACATCCCCACTTTTCAACTCCCGGCCTTTTCTGAAGCTGGCTCTTTTACAGTATTGGTTAGCAGCTGCGTAAAACATTCTGATGATTTATAAGCTTAGAACAAACACAAAATAACTCCTCCGCCTACATACTGAACTCAAGTTCTCTCATCTATAGTTCTATTGCTTAAAAAAGATGAGGTATCTTTCAAAGAAGATTTAGAATTTAAAGAAAAATAAACTGCAATGATTAACTTAGGTTACTTCCCAGTTTATCACAAACCTCTGCTGGAACATCTGTTAAGTATAAGACACTTCAAAATTTAGCTAACATAGCTAAAAATCAGAATATTGTTAAGTATTTTCTCACAATATCACAATTTTTAATGGGATATATAGGTAATTCTATCAATTACCATTTTTCTTTTTAATACATCTAAGTTTGGTACTCAAAACAATTTGAGTCCAAATGTTAAAGCACTGGCTGGAGGCACAAATATAGCACAACAGGAACTACAAAAGCTGCCATGTACACTCCTGCTTTGTACTACAAACCCAACATGCAACTCCTTCCTATTCCAAACTGGGACTTACCCCCCAAAATCTGTCAGCTTCCCGACGGCTGTGTGAAATGGGCAAAAGTCCCCCCGATACTAGGTGTAATCCAAACTTCTCCCTTGTGAATGAAGCCAAATCACGAACCAAATTTCTAGAAATGGACCATTAGTATAGCCTTGCAGATATTTATATGGAAATGGATGAAACTAAGTTAATTTCAACACCAATGCTGCGTAAACATGATGTTCTGAGATCTTACTAAGAAATACTTTGCCAAATTTTCTTCAGTGCTGCAAGGGAAAATAATTCTAAATAGAAGTACAACAGTTGGAGAGCATTCCCATCAGTCTGGAGTTCCAAGTACAAGAAGAAATTGAGAAGTGCTTAATGTTTCTGCTGTAAAGAAATATTTTAATGCAACAGAATTCCTTCTCAAAATAAGTACACATGTATTAGTGCGCATGCTGTTGTGAAATAGTCACTTTCATTGCTAGTAAGATGAATTTAACAGTTCTATTTCCAAAGGAGCTTCTACGGCAGTACGGTATAACAATAGCAGTATGCAACACCTAAAGAGTCGCCCAAGAGATAATGGAACAAACATGAGAACTCACAGCTTGGGGGCTATTTAACAGGTCAGTTTTTCAATACAAAAGTGCTAATATCATAGGTCCAATATGAGTGGCTTTTAGATCCAACATTCTGTACATACATTACAGAAATTCTGTCCTGTATTTTTCACTGCTTCATGAACTTGAAAGACTTCATATCACTTCCCATTCATCTTCAAAATCATCAGGGTGAAGCAGAACAGAAGTGTCATTATTTTTCTGCAAACTACGGGAATGGCTAAAGGTCTTAGTGAGGCGCTGGAGAAGGGATCCTGAAGTACTGATTGCCCACAGTTCATCTAGAGGGGTCACTGCAAAGCATAAATTATCCATCTTTTAATTAAGGTAGCTGGTTCCAATTATAAACATTAAATAATATTTGGATCTATTTTTCTAATTATACCCAGAGAAGGTTTTTACTAATGTGATAAAAGCACCCTTGGTGAAACTCTCACAGCAAACAAAGCATTTAGGGTACCAAGCTCTCCCTGCATACAATCAGCCTGAGCATCGTCAGGCAGAAATAAAAGCAGGCAGCACAATGTTTTGGACTGTCATGCCAAACCAACTTGCCTGTTAAACGTGAGACATTTCCAGGAATCTTCTTCCAGTAGTCTCCTGCTGGATTCTTGTCAGTAACGCCGTATCGACGAGCTACGTCTCCATTTGGACAGCGTGCCCAAACAGTTCTTGTACTTATAGCCAGCTGACAAGCCTGCAAACCTAAACATAATTGGACAGGAAGAGGGAACGGTCACAGGCTTTCTTATACACTAAATACACTTGCAGAAAAGTTTATTAAGACAGCAAGACCGTAACAGTTTTCATATATTCTTATATTAGTACCAGAGAAGAACTCGCCATTATAAAAGCAACAAATAAACACCTCGTTTTCCAGGCAGCTTTCTAAGAATGGATTGGCAGTTGTCTTGGAGAAGACAATTCAGGACTACGTACTTCCTCACACTGACTTTATGGGAGTTGAATGGAGTAGATGCTATTTGAATCTTAGTTTCTGGCCCTGCATAAGCTGAATATCAGAAAGTAGGCCACCTGCAGCACATGAAATGCTGGTGAACAAAAAAGCTTTCCAGTTGCAGACTTTGTATTAACGGCATGTATTGACCATAAGCGTATCACACTGTGGATACATTTTGTTATGTGTCCACGGCCACAAGCAAGAACCAGTCAGAGGATCTTCAAAACATACTTCTGGAGCCTCCGCTGCATTTTACTACCACATGTGGAATAATCTAACAGTTGTGACTTCAGTTTGTCTAAAAATGGTTAACATTACAGACGTTGAGGATTTTTTGTTTCTTTCTCTTCACAAGAAAGCAAGTACTCTGCAACTAAGTGCCATGCATTTATGCAGTGAAAAATCTTCAAAAAGCAGACAGCATCAATACACGCTTATTTAGACAGAAACAACTAAAATTTAATTTTATTTACAGGAAAGGCAAAAATGTAATTACCTAATCTAGAATATGCCGAGCACGTAAGATTAATACAAAGATGTGTAAAATAGCATTAGGTTTTTGTTAGACACATCTGGATAGGAACCCCATGTTGTATCACATTTAAATACAAAACTTCCCACAGCACAGCAGTCTCCTATTGCTTAGGAATACTGCTTTAGTTCCAACTGAAAGGGAACTGTACCATTTACTAATTCAGTGGCAGCAGCCTAAAATAATATGCGATGGAAATTCATCAAAGAAATCAGATTTCTCTTAACTACATAGTGTTTTTAAGTAAAACCAAGGTCCTCTTTAAAAGATAACCATTATCAAACACTTTACTATGTTCCTATAAATAAGTACCCTTGATTGCTGAGAAAAATATTTGATTTAAGCATTGCTACCCAATTTAAAAAGCAACAGGTAAAAAAAAAAACAACACTGAGAAAACTGCAGAAAGAACAAGGAACTGATGCATTAATTTTTACCTGGTACATGTTCCCAGTCAGTGCCTACAGGCATTTCATCTGTAATTCCAACTCGTACATGGACATTCCATTTGCTATCAATTGCCCACAACATCTGATCGTTTGGACTTGAATGAATGCTGACCAAGTTGATTCCTACTGGCTATAAAAATTAAGCACAGTATTTATACTTTGTACTACTGTATCTTTGTACTATTGTATCACTTGTTCTTCACAGAAGTACACAAGGGAAGTAAATTATTTACCAGATACTAAAGACAGGAAGAAACTTAACTGACATTTTATTTGTCATTGTGTAAAATTACCAATTTTCCAAAAAGTCAATCCCTTCCTAAATAGAAAAGGAACATGAACGAATGTCACCCAAAGTTACTGATACTGATATTCATATTTAATGTTCAGCATCTGAGTCTAACAATACTACTATTTGTTTAACCACTGTTATTCAAATCAGGTACAGTTTCAATGCAAGCTGAAGAGGGAACTCTTCCACCGAAATGCACAAAGTGCAGTATTTTCCTCTTGCCTTCCTGAAAATTTTCCTAACATAACGAAATCTGCACTTTCCGCAATTTCTAAACATACACAAGCAGGACATTTCTACAATCTGAATGTCTCCTCTTTGCAATTAAACAGCCACCTGCCTTCTTCCCTGAGCTCCATTCCACAGGAGTACAACTGCGGAACCCATTGCAGACCACTGCAGTACTGGAGCAGCCACACCGCTATCTGTTGGCAAACCCGAGTGAAATGCACTTCCCATTCTGCTCCCATGCAAGTCCTTACTCTGTCTGCTTCTGTGGAGATTTGCCTTAACTGCTGTTCAAAATCAGCCTTACTGACCACAACACGTTATGGATGTCATAAAGATGGTGATTTTGTAGCAAAATATATCAGCCAACAGGTTTAGCGAACACAAATATACTGCAAAACAGGTACTTTAAATAAAACGCAGATAAGAACAAGAAGAAAAATTTTTCTCCCCATCAGACTAACAAAGCCACTAAAGAAGACGGTAAGATGCCCTGAAAGACGTCATCACCTCACAAAGCACTGCATTTCTTGCTTTAGCCTCACAGGCGTAAGCTGAATTTCCAGTATGATAAATCCAAGAGGAAGCAGCTCTTTGCATGTATAAACCTAGCAACACAGAAGCATAATCTGCACGTGCATACAAGCACAAAACCCAGTCCCAAATGGGCCTTCTGTGTACATAACAGCTACCTGCTTTGGTTTTGCTGTTAAAGTTCTGGTGCTAACATGTGTCTGACCCAGCTATTACCAAGTGCTACTTCCATCACCAGATCAATCCTGTCTATTCAGGTTGCAAGGCCTTTGACAGACTATCTTCTCATCTTTGTGTGCTCATTAGGTACTTGCCCTCTGTTGGAAGCTTGAGGAGGCTGGTACAAGCTTGATGAAATATTTACCTGTGGTTACAGTAAATTCACAGTGGCTGCAGTTTGAACGCTTACAGTAAGACACTAATTGTCTTGAAGAGTGTTGACTACATAGAATATGCAACTGCCTAGCTACTTCCAAATTCGCATTCTGCCATATTACAAATAAACTAAACTACTGTATTGAAAAAAACAAACAACTCC